CAGTGCGCTTATGCTTTGAGAAGTTTGCAAGTATCTGGTTCGATCCCCACAGACTGCGCACTGGTTCCCTGAGCAAGACACTTAACACTGCTCCCCGGGCACCACACAATGGCAGCCCACTGCTCCCCAAGGGGATTGGTTAAATGCAGAGAATTAATTTCCCCATTGTGGGACATAAAGGAATTTACATTGTGGTGTCTCTCAGATTCTTTAACACCAGCTGCTCAATGGAGACCAGACCTCTGAGGTAAAAACAGCAGGATTCATTAAACCTAAACAGGACTATCCTGGTTAAATAGAGGTTAAATAAATAAATAAATAAAAAGTGCTTGTTTTATATGTTGGACTTATTGGGGAGCAGGATCATGGTGGAGCGTTAAAGCAGATAGGAACCAGAGCACCATAGAGCTGTTAGATGTGGGTGAAGCTGTCCCAGATGGTCAGCTCTGGCTGTGAGCAGGGACAAACACCATCCTGTCCAGGAGCTTTCAGGGATTTTTTTAGCCATCATAATAGTGTTAAAAACAGCAAAAAGCAATATTAATTACAATTAAACTAGATTAAAAAAAAGAATAATGACTTTCTTTATCATTGCTAAATGCCTCCAAGATTCTCCATGATATTCAACAACATGCTTGATTTAGGTATGAAAGCAAACTGGTCCATATGAAGAGAAAAATGTCCTTAGGCCATGTTCACATTGAATGCATCCCATGTCCCTTGTACACTTGATGCATGTAGAATCCATACTACTGAACCAACAAGAAGTGTAAACACAAGTGATTTGTGGAAGTAGCATCAGCCTTAGTGAAGTGTAAGTAACTGATCACCATCCTTACTAGAGAAGAGTTGGTTATTTCTGTCTTTACCGTCTGCCTTAGTCTTCATGACGAACATTAACCTGAAATGCAATGTTGTCTCTCCAGACCAAATGCAATCATATTCAGATTAGGCTGGCTGCAGATTTAAAAAAAAACCTTTAAGCGGATATTAAATGTCATGCTTTTGGTTCTGTCTAAGTTTTATCTTTGAGTTTTCATTGGTTTTATTTCCATTTTGTGATATTCAGGTGATTTTTTTAAAATGTATTTGAGTTCTTAGGTATTTCTTGCTTGGCCTATTTTGCCCTCCGGTATCAGTCTCCTTTCCTTAGCTCCTTTCTAGACTCCTCTGTTCACACCTGCTCCCAATCTGCTGATTAGCCTGGTCTCTGTTTCACTCTCCCATATATGCACCTCCTGCTCAGTCACTGTTGCTGGTTTGTTGTCATTTCATCCCCTTCAAGTGAGTTTTCCCCTTTTTTCTGTATTTTTGTGGATTCTGAGGATTTATGTTTTTGGAATTTTGCTTCTGTTGCCCTTTTTGTTGAATTAAATCTTCAAGTAACCACCTTCAGCTTCAGTGTCTGCATTTGGGTCCTGTAGAAAACCTCTACCCATCTTAACATTAAAAATATACATGTTTACTCACATTTCTGAACTAAATATGTGTCATTATTGGTCTGATGTTTTATTGGCTGTAATAAGAAAAATATTTCTATCAATACTTGAAAACATTCATCTGTGTGTTGTTTTACCCATAAACTGTGTTTTTTTTTAGGTGAATTAAGTCAGAGGTATTATTTGAGTGTGTGTTTTTCTGTACTTATCTAGGAGATAATTATCTGCAAGTCAATCTGAAAAGAGTGTCTGATACAAAGACTGCATTTTATCTCAACTACACTGTGCTATTGTATTAAATATAACCAGGAAGGTAAAACAAGATGACAAAAGATTTATTCTCTAAGCCCAAATTTTATATTGTGGATAAGTTCTGTTTGTTTTTGTTTTTTTAAAGTAAAAAGTATATATATATATATATTTTTATAAATAAACACAAATCGGAAAAGGTAAATATGACAATAATGTAGCCGTCTTTTTTTCAGCAAAGACCAACAGCTACCTATGGTCTAACTTTCATTATTAAGACTTAGACTTAGACAGATTTATTTGTCATTTTGTTTACACAAGTGTAAAACGAAAAGAAATTTCTGGCAATTTCATCTTTTTTTAAAGTGCAACCTTGAAAAATTGTAAAGAAATGTATATAAAAATATTATGTAAACATATGACTGTAAATTTACAGTTTTAACATTTTCACTTGTAATATAAAAAAATAAAACATAAATAAATTCTGTCTATAAAATATAGGCCCCATTTATAATAATAAAGTATATCAATGTTACTTTGCAGCCACTATAACTCTACACCACATACCTTCATAGGTTTCAAAGACAATCTCAGTCAAACTCCTACCTACCAGGAGCCAGTAAAACTACTTTCTGGATCATCTACCACAACCTTAAAATAACTATGAACACAGGATCACAAGAATTGCATCCAATAAGTCTGAGTAAACATGTTTAATCTATCAATTATTTAATGTACAATGTAGGTTTATTAGTTTGGTTTATTAAACCCAACCCTTCCTGCGTCCAGGAGTCCTATTTGTTGAGTGTGTGCCTTTAAATTACAAAGAAAAAACGCTAACATACATAAAGCAGATGGTTAAAATAGGGAAACCGTTTTCCCAGATGATTGTGATAATGATGTGAGCTCTGGCTGCAGCAGCTTACTGTTGCCTACTGTCTTAGAGAAAAAGCAACAGAAAATCTGATAAAGTACAAAGCACTGGTGTCCTGCATGTCCTCATGCATCCAACACAGCTCATTAAAATGGCGAGATGAGCTCAGGTGTGGAGCTGCAGAGCCAAAAAATGTCATTGCTTTAAATGTTTCTCGGCTACACAACCAGCCGGATGAATAGAGAAGACAGAAACAATTCAAACAGTAAACTCTGACGCATTCTTTGTTTATATTCCAAATAGCCAGTAGTCTACTGATGAAATATAGCCTGGTGATAAAATACTCATAGTGAGTTTTAAGATTTATTGTCTAATTAAATGTATAAAAATATGCATTTTGTCACCTTTTTGATATTTCAAAACCATTAAAGTCTCTATTTCAAATGTAGTTGTCAGTGGAATATTAGCTTAAACTGTCAAATTTAGTATGTTATCTAAAACAACTAACAAAACCAACATGACTATAAAATCTTTGTAATATTTGTCTTATACAGTTACTTCAATGTCTGCAGCAGAAACCAGGGCCACCCTTAAACGGAACCTACAAAAGGATGGAAAAATGCTTCAGCTCATGTAAATAACGAAACCCAAAGGGTCCTTATGCAAATTTTAGTACATATAAAAATATCTGCAGTTCAGTTTTTTTACAAACCAACTTTGCTCGTCGTTTTTCTTTTTTTAAAAAGCCAACAGACTAAGAACCATTTAACCAACTTACCAGTAGGTGTCCATATAAGGAAATCATAAAACATTTTTTTTCTATATTTACTGACTGTAACCCAAACTTTTAATCTTAAAACATCCTTTTGGTATGTTAGACATTATATGTAAAATAACTAATAGAGAACATGAGCACGAGTAAGCCTTTAAAAAAGGCAGTTTTGTTTTATGATTGAAAGAAAATGAACGCTTCTTTAAACTGCTTCAGACATCCCCCACCCGGTCACGCTCTGCAGACCGCCTGCATCAAGAAGCCGGGATTAAAGAATCAACAACTAACAGTGGTGATTTTGGTTATATCAACACTGATTTCACTTCACATCGACTTTCCAACTTGGCTGTGTAAATCTCCCTGGATTAGTGGGATTAACTGTCTTCTACCGCATCCACAACATGGATCTTTACAATGGCCACACCAAGTGGGAATCCCAGGCCCGACTGGAAGGCAAGTAGAGCGAGAAATCTCTCCATGAATCTTCATTCCAAGGACACATTTTGGTTGAACATCAACAGAAATATCTATTCTAAAGCTAAAACATTTGGTTCCTATTATTGCCGAAGACAAAGCACGGCCTGAACAGTAACAGCAGGCCCAAAGACACTGAAAGATCCATTTAGCAACCGCCTGTAAATCTCCTAATCCCAACATCATCAAGTGTCAGCAAATGTCCAGGACAAATCTGGCATAGATATACTCCAGAACTTCCTGGACTAAAGAGACTGGTGACTATTTCCGCCAAAAGTCCCAGATTTACACACAACTTAAACATTTGCAGCCTCATACTTTAGATTTAGTTGCTTTTATTCTACGTTTAAACAAATTTGCTTTGATACAAAACTTTAAAAATAAAACAATCTTAAAGTTTTTTGTTTTTTTTCTTTTCCCAAAAGACAAAAGAAAATGCCCCATTATCCAGAAATGAGAGCTGCAAATTAGCTTAGCATGGAAATGTATTTCTGGTGAATTCCTGTTATCATAAAAGGTATGTTACAGACAATGTATTTATAAGTGTATGAAAATGTGGGGTTCAACCCCAAAACTAATGAGTAAACAGATGCAGCTGTGCTGTGCTACAACTATAACATGAGGAAGTTTAAGTGTTACTTCAATAAAAACTAAATAATCAAAAATCCCTCCAAAGCAGGGTGAGTTTTAAAGCAGCTTAAGACTTCTTTTCACACATCTGAATGTTTACAATCTGATTCCTAAGAGAAGATGTAATCCTTTCCAGGTATAATACACATTAACTGCAGGATATTTCTTTTTTATTTCTTCATATAAATACTTTCACTTCACATTAGACCACTTCCTCTATCTAGAAGGGAGAGAAGCACTGAACTTGAAATTGTGATAAACCAGTTCAACAACAGTCTTCATAACTCTTCACAAACACAGCGAGGAACTCAATGTGCAGGATTTAAACCTCACACTTTGTTGTTTTGGAGGAGCAGGAACCATAAGCAACAGTAAAAATATGCAGAAGAGATTCTTCGGCTGACTTATGAACACCAAAATTCAACCCCGACAATCATACCTTAACATCTAATTCGATCAAACTGTTTTAGAAAGTTTCTGGGATGTGGATTTTATTTATGATTTTCGTTGCAGCTCAGTTGTGTTTAAGCAGCTTGTAAGAAGCAGAGATGAGGACTCTGACCTTGTAGACTTCTCCGTAAGTTCCTCCTCCAACTCTCAGCAGAATCTCGAAATCATCCTGAGGGTTCTTTGTGGAGATATCCAGAGCTGCCCTTTGATGGAAATCCATTCTAAAGTTTTTTGACATTAATAATCCCCCTTAAGGCATGTCAGTGCAGCACCTCATTCATTCGCTGTCATTCACATCTGAGACTGAGAGGCACTTGGAGGAGATGAGCTGCTGCGTCTGATTCGTCTTTGGCTCAACCGCTGCTGCACACACACCTTCCTGTTTGTTTCTCAGCCTGCCTCAGATCCTCCCTGCTTCTGTCACTCCCTCCCTCCCTCTGCCTATCTCACACCTCCCTCTATTCTCTTAGGCATTTTTGTAGTAATTTGCATAATCCAATGTTGCTTCCTGTTCAGTGGGTGCTTGTGTGTGCCTGTGAGATATAGATATATGAATATATATTTATATAATGGCAGTTAGAGAAAAAAAAGTTTGCAAAGTTCTTTCTGTCTCTGCTCTCACAGTTTAACACATATGAGGACACGCTTTAAGCTCGTGTGATTTCTTGCACATGTGTGCGTTTTAGCTGATTAACTGAAGTTTGGGGGTTTTTTTGGTGCAGGTTTCAGTCTGAGCTTTACACCCACGGATCGATGTGTGTGTGTGTGCGTGTGTGGGTGTGTGAGCTGCATCTCTGCAGAAAGAGTCACTCATGCTTGGAGCTCCCTTTTCTGCTTCCTGTTCATATCCTGTTCAAACCAGGGGCACCCATTACATCCTGTTAACAAGTGAAAAAAAGCATTATCTTGTTTGATTATTGTTTTATCAGAAATTATTTTTTTACTGACTTTTTAAAGCAGCGTTTGTCCCTAAAGTTACTTCATCTTAGTATGAGGAATATAATCAGAACCTTAGCTTTCATCATATTAGATCAATCCGATAAATTCAACCCTGTTCACCTTAAAGGGTCTTGAGATGGTGATATATGTGCATTTATTACCTCTATGATGGACTAATGCAGCTCTCCCTTATATTCCGTTGGACAACTGACCATCTGCTAACAGCTAACAACAACACATTATTAACCCCATTAGTAACTCCATGATGTCCTCCTTGGGCTGTATACCTGTAAGTTTAATGCTTGGGTTTAAGAATTTAAAGGCACAGTGGGAGATTTTTGCGAACTTTTGAAAAGACCCGCCCCTTTTACTTAAAAAAAAAATGCACATGCTCAACCCTTTTACGGAACCGTACTGCATTCACCATGAAAAAAAAAAAAACAGCCTATCTCATAAGTACGAGATTGGTATCTCGTACTTATGAGATGTTATCCGATAATTACGAGATAAGATCTCATAATTACATGATCTTGTCTATATATTTGGTTTTGATTACTTGAGCCAGTAATGAATTATCTCTAAGAAAACTGGTCTTCATGATTACTTCTTAAAAATATCTGCATCTGTTCCACTGAGCAGTTCTCTGTACCCAGGTCTGTCCTGATACGCGTATGAGCTCTGCTCCTGTTTTACACTTTATCTACAAAGTAAATGGCATGTACTTATATAGCGCCTTTATTCAAGTTAGGAGACTTGACCAAAGCGCTTTACACTACATTCATTCACCCATTCACGCACACACTGATGGTGGCAAGCTACATTGTAGCCACAGCTGCCCTGGGGCTCACTGACAGAAGCGGGGCTGCCGTACACTG